CAGAAAAATATTCAAGTCCTATCTTTGTTACTAGTCAAAGATGGATTTCAGTATTTCAAAAGTCCCAGGGTAACCCTATGGAATAATGAGTACCAGTTCTGACGATGTCCGTCATATGACGAAGGAAAGCTTACTCCGTTTTCGCCCGAAATGAGGAAGGGTGTCTCATAGACTATGTCAACCTGAACTTCGTATTAAAGCCAGATGGCTACAGCACAACAGGAAATAAGCGTCGTCTCCAGGTAAGATCGACCTACGAATCTATTCATAATACACTTTTATACCCTCGATTCCGTCATCTCTATCGTTAAACCATTCATTATAAATGCCATGTCTCCGTACAGATTATATAAAAAGAAGCTGGGGCTAGAAGAATCCTTTAGTAAAATGATGCTGGTATATTTTTCATTCGATTTGAAAATGCGGATAAAAAGGATTCGTAAATTGGCCTCACTGGATACCGAAGGATGATCGCCTTGGGCTTGTGATTATCGGATTGTGAGATCTTGACTCGCCAACCTGATACTTTAATGAATCCGTACTTAGCTTTCATCCAAAACAATGTTATCTCAGGGGATTCATCAAAACCAGCTTGTTCGTATATACAATTATGTATGCTTTAAAAATTTATTTAAAATGAGAAAAGATCAGCGCCCTTTCAAAAATGCCGAAAGAAGGTTATAGTTGAGGGCTATAAAAACGTGGTAAAAGCCTTTCAGGGCAGGACAAAGACAAGCTTACAAAGTCTTTTAAATAAGGCAAATATTAACTTCATAAAGGTGACGTCCCCATTATAAACGAAATTAATAATAAAAACAATTACTTATGGCCTTGAAAAATAATTACATCAAAAATAAAATAAAGAAGTCATAATAAGGCTTAATGTGGACATCATCATCATCATCACTTACCGCCTGGCTAGGAATCACAAAAGGAAAATGAATAATGCTTAATAGCTAAAATCTTTAGGGTGCATAAATATAAAAGGGGTGTATGCCAAACCCAAAAACGTTGTGGTTCATCATTGAACCTAATCAAAGCAAGCAGTACCATAACATTTGTGGGTTGACACACAAGAGAATAGGACATGGCAAATCATAGACTTGGTATTAGGGATAGAGACAGGATAGAGGCGGCGATTTGAGCTAGTTGGCTGAGATAGGTTTTACAGGAGACATGGTCCATGTAGCAAAGGCATGACCATGAGACTTACTCAGAGGCTTTAGCCTCGAATTAGTCACCCAGAAGCAGGGGTGGGCGAAGAACGCCTCGAGTAGCACAGGTAGGAAGGCAGGGGTCGAGTGAAATACGTGTACCAGGGAAATAACTACGGGGCAAGGGAGAGACTCTGATAGGACCCAGGGAAGGACACTACGTAACAATATGACAGACTCTGGTCAACATTCCCATCACAAGGGTGAAGGGGGTGATAACGACAGTAAGGAGTGTGAAGGGTTTTCATGAATGCCGCTCGAAGAAGCACACCACATTACAGCAAAATAAGCACGGAGGATATAGGAAATGTGAATAGCCC